GGCACTCACCTGCTTTGCACTTCGTAGTTCAGGCAGCAGAGCACCTGTCATGCGGCAAATCAACAAGCACATTCAACTAGCAGACATGCAGAGTTGCAAACAGTGCAAACCAGGCACAAGACTAAAGAAACAGAGAAAAAAAAGAAGAAAAAAGTATGATTCACTTTGAATGAAGTAATCTAAGTTCATAACTTCGTATAAGAGGAAAAAAGTATGATTCACTTTGAATGAAGTAATTTAAGTTCATAACTTCATATAACTGAAAAGTTCGAACTTTGCAGTTCAATTCAGAACGTCAGAGTCTTCAGACTGGCAGCACAGTCAGTGTTCTCTCTCTCTCTCTCTCTCTCTCTCTCTCTCTCTCTCTCTCCAACGGGCAGCGGTGGCGGGCGGCACTTCGAAACGGCCGCTTTGAAATTGCGCGGGCCTGTGTGAAGTGAAACCCGCTACCCCAAAAACCTGCAGTATCTTGTGTTAGGATGAAACGGCACTGAAAAATCACCTACGTAGAAGACTTCTTTTTTGTTTTTGAACTTTTTTGAACTTTTTTTCTGTTTTTTTTTTTTGGTTTTGGTTTTGTTTTTCTCTTTTTTTGTTTTAAAGGTTGTGCGGGCTGACTACTGTTTTTCCAACTTTTTTGGAAAGAATGAAGAAAATGAAAAGTTTCAAAACAGTTAGAGAAAACAATGGAAAGAAAGATAGGAAGCCACAGCTGAGGGCAATCAACACGACAGGCATAACTGATGGACCCGTTCCGCAAGTTTGGCGCTCTTTTTTTAGATCGCTGCAAATATGCCACCTACGTCGACAATACGAAAAGTACCTGCAAAAAAAAAAGAAAAAAAAAGAAGGAAATTTCCGAAATTTCAAATTAGTAAATTACCTGTAAGGCTGTAAGTTCATGCTCACCTTCTGAGAAGCAACACTGCTGTCTGTATATGAAATCGTCCGCTAACATCTCCGCGAATTTCCTGGCCTCCTCGTCCTTCCCCTCGCTTGCTGGGCTTTGGCGAGGAAGTTGTGGTAAAAGAGCTGACCTGTGCAGCATCCCCTCTTGGGACGACGCCCGTGGCTGCTGGTTCCACGCACCTTGGGCGAAAGCCATAAGCTCAGAGACACGGTCACCAATTTCATGTGCAGCTCTACCTCTGCGACCTTGTCCACCTCTTCCTCCTCCTGCTCCTCCTCCCTCTACCATCACTTCTTGAGTTGGCCTTGACTGCTTGTTCCTGGCACCTTGCCCAAAAGCGACACACTCAGAAACAGAGTTATCAGCATCATGTCCATCTCGACGGATACTTCCATGAGCTCCTCCTCCTCCTCCTCCTCCTCTCCATTTTCCTGCTTCAAGTACTGAGGGATGTCCCTGATTCTCCCAGCCCCAGTCACCAGTGTGCCCTCTATTTGTGTCATTATCACCATAGCCATGGCCAAGGTCCGAATTGACCCAAGATTCACATAGCTCTTGGGGATCTAACACAAAATTACAGAAACTACTTTTGGCTTCAGATTCTTCAGAATGTTCACAGTCTAACTTTATAGCCACGGGCAGCGTCTGAGCTCTTCTCCGATCAATGAATGGCGAACTTGCTATCAATGTTGTTGTTTCACAGCATGTGGTTGTAGCCGAATCGGCAAGAAGAATGGTTGTGCCACAGGAAACCAGTGGTCCTTGTTTGCCCTGCCAGTCTTCACCCAGCCAGTTTCCACAGCCCACGGGTCCCTCAGGTGAAACTGGGATTGGAGCTTGGGCTGAATGTTGTCCGTAAAACATGCGTCTGGTAGCTGGGAATGCAATCTGCCCGAGCAATAGAGGCACAGAGTCCTCTCTCTTCCTTTCCTGCCAATCTTCTACCTCCCCCCTGTCCTCCTCCTCCTCTTCTTTTTTTTTTTCTTCTTCTTCTTCTTCTTCTTCTTCTTCTTCTTCTTCTTCTTCTTCTTCTTCTTCAGCTTCTTCTTCTTCTTCTTCTTCTTCTTCTTCTTCTTCTGCTTCAGCTTCAACTGAGTATCTCCTCACACGCACGCGTTTGCAAGCTGGGATTTGTCCCCACAGTGTCATCAGGTCATCATCTCTCTCCCTCTCCTCTTCCTCCCCTTCTTCGAGCGTTTGAGCTGAACTTTGTGAAACTTCGCAGATTGGAATTGCAAGCTGTCTCAGCAAAGCAGCCATGCGACCTCCACTCTTCTCTTTATGTTCCTGTTCGCCTCCTCCTCCTCCGTCCCCCCCCCCCCCTTCTCTTATATGTTTTTCAGTGTTCAGCACAGCTGGCACGCTGTCTCCTCGCTTCAGATCTTGTTCCTGTTCCTGTTCACGTTCCTGTTCCTGTTCTCTTTCTCCTCCTCCTCCTCTTACGTGTTCAGATTCTTGTGCATAAGCCCCAGGATGCCGAAGCGACATCATGAACAATTGTGAGTCATAATGTTTGGATTTGGACGTAGTGAAAATGGGAGAGAGATCGTCAGCTTCATTTTCCTGAGACTCAGGGGTGGGTCCATACAAGCTTGGGAGTAACTCCTCCACTTCTTTTAGCAATAAATCTATTGATAATCCACTGCTCTCGATATCAGCACCATACTGGTTATCGTCATCATCACTGGCGTAATCTTTTCGTATTTCGAGACTGTGTTGCCCCAGCTTGGACTCTACTGATACTGGCACCAAGCTTAAGGCTTCTTCTGTTGACACGTGGCGTTTGGCAGTCATTGGTACCCGTGGTCCACACTTTAAGAGTGGTGCCGAACTCGATGATGTTGGAGGGGAATCCACATTTTTCTTCGCAACGAGAGTCATCGCTGTTCTGGGACAGTAGTCCACCGTTTCCTCGGTCAGGTTCTGTGCCATGAACTCGCGCCTTGTAGGAGCTCCCGGACCTGTGAGAGAACTCACAAACTGAACGCTGCCATCGAAGTTGTCGACCAAGATTGCAGGATCAATGCATGGCAATGAAGACAGGATGGCAGCAGCCTCCATAGCCACTCCTGGATGTTTCAATCCTGCCGATAGAAAGGGATGAACACCACTGCAAGCCTCAGGCATAAGCTCAAAAAGCAGCTCGGTTCTACCATGAGATGATGTTGAAAGTCCAGGACAAGTGAAGCTGGTGTCGGGGTTTGCTCGAGGCTCACAGTTCGGGAAACCAGACACTGGTTGGGGGGGAAGTGATGAGATGCCAGCAGCTTGTGTCAGAGCAGAAGTCAACGACTTCGACAACGAAGATGAAAGGTGCTCCAAAGATGGACGAGGAGTCTTTGATGACAAGTCCCGCTGCATCGGGGTCATCAGGGAGGAGGATGTTGGCGTCAGATTGGCAGCAGCTTGCGGCATTGATGTCAAAGAAGCAGCCAGGGACGGTGAGGCGGCAGTGGGTTTGGACATTGATATCCGATCTACAGCTGAGGAGGATATTGGTGCCACAGTGGCAGATGGGGTCATTGAGGTAGAAGGAGCAGCCATGGATGGTGATGTGGCGGGAGGTACAGCGATCGGAACCCGGCGGGGAGTTGAGGAGAAGGTTGGCGTCATAGTGGCGGCTTGGGACATTGATGTCGGAGGAGGAGCCAGGGATGCTGATGTGGCAGTAGCTACCGACATTCCAACTTGATCCGAAGTTGGGGAGCACACTGACATTGAGCATACTGTCAGCGGCGTCAGGGATACTGATGTGGCATGAGTTGCGGACCTTGGGATCTCCGCAGGAGCTGGAAATAACAATGGCATTTCGAAATGCAATACTGCGGGTGATGAGGCATGTCCAGCATACGTACTGTGTGTGATTGCAGCACCTGACGAGATCTTCTGCGGCTGTGCAGAAGAAGAGGTTGATGGCACGACATTACCACACAAGGATGATAGTGAAAGGAGTGGAGGACTACATGCTGGCGGCGATAATGTTGCTGAGTGTAGCTCAGCTAAAGTTCGGCGTTGCGCAAGTGAATCTAAGGCAGTTACTGTGCTGGAACGCTGTGTTACATGAGCATCACTCAATTTCACAACTCTCAATGCGTTCTCTATCGAGCCTGCGGTGTCCGGAGGTGATGACGCTAGTGCCACACCCAATCTTTGAAACGGGCTTAGAGGCAGGACAGCTGAAGAGGATGGAGTTGGAAAAGACAAAGAATCAACCACCAGTTCACTGGCTGACACTGGCACTGTGTAAGTGATGGTCTGAACTGTCTCTGCAGCACTCGAGGCACCTGCAGCAAGGAGATCAGGTGCAGCACTTTCGGCATCTGCAACAAGGAGATATGGTGTCACTTGTGTATCTGATATGTCGGAATACGCAGAAGGCGCAACGGTCAAAGTGGGGTAGGGGACAGCAGACCCGGACTTGGATTCGGGCAGGGCTCCGTAGGTTGAGAGCATGGATGAGGAGGGGGTAAGAATCTGCACCGTTGTGGCAGTGTCTGCGGCGTCTGCAGCAAGTGATGCTGCTGATGTGATGTCTGCCGTTTGGGACGAGGACGAATACGTCATTGTCAAGCCAGGGGCAAAATGAGGAGGAGGACAGTTGTCACAGTTCACTAGGGACTCTCCATCGCACAGCGCTGGTGAGGAAGGGCGATTCCTAGCTGTTGCTGCTGCAGAGTGCACAGGCAAGACCGATAGCGCCCTTGCTTGACTTGGTACATGTGAAGATAACAAAGGTGCTGCTGGCAAGGAGGGTGTGATAAGAGCAGCACATAAGGATGCAGATATGGACTGGTTAGATGACGTCAACGGTCTCGAAGGCTGTTCGTTGACCAAGTCTGCGACTACTCTGACGCCAGATGGCCACTGCATCTTATCGGAACCAATGTTCAGCCCCTCCCCCACTGTTGTAAACAGACCAGACGCCGCCTCCTCTCCTGATGGGAGGTTGAAGGTGAACGTTAGATTCAATGCGACACATAAGGATCTTATGCATGAGGAAATTGAGCTTGTTTCCTGTGCTGCAGGCGATGAGAATGGAAGGGTAGAAACGTCACACGAGGATAGGCAGACGTGTGTCTGCCCGCAAACAGTCCGGGCTGAAGGAGCGGGTGAGGGAGAGGATAGTAGAAACCTCTGGTCAGCAGAAGCTGCTCCTGGAGTGCCCTCGGGCAAGGATGATGCCAATGGCAATGACAGTAATGATGGTGGTAATGACAATGATAATAATGAGGCTGGAGGAGATGATAATGACAGTGATGACGATGATGATGATGATGATGATGATGATGATGGAAATGGTGTTAGTGAAGCTGTTGACGACAACTCTGAACTATGTAACTGTGGTTTGGAACAGTATAACGGGGCCATCAAGGTGGAAACAGGGGGTGGAACCTGGGGCTGTGATTGGAGGGCCATCTCAGTAATCCCAGGCAGTAGGGGACAGGTGACTGAAGGAAAAAGCGGACTATGAGTAGTAGCAGAAGTGGGGGAAGGAGGTGTAGGAGTTGTAAAAGGGCGTGGAAAGGCAAGTGGAGGCGGTGTAGGAGGAGGAGTACGGGGAGTTGGAGGAGGAGAAAAGGAACAAGGAGGGCCATAGAGATGAAGAGCTGAGAATATCATATCATTTGGAGGGGCTAGAGAAAGAGTCTTCTCAGTGGCAGCTCGGATAAGAGGAGGAGGTGATTGATTAGGAGTCTCGGCCGGACTAGAGATTGAGGACAATGACCGACCTGACTGGATGTGGGAACGAGTTGCATACGGCTTGTGCCTAGAACTTGCTAGCATTGGTGGCACCTCTGAAGGAGGAACTAAATCGCCTGCTGATGTTCCTGGTCTCTTGGCTGCTTCTACTTTGTTGTCGTCTCTGACACATCCTGCCCCTTCCTTTCCGCCCTCCCCTCCTTGTCTTTGTCCAGCCACAGCCACTGCCGCCAATCTTGCTGAAGGTTGCTTGGTGTGCTTCTTGAACAGTTGCATGACTTCTTCTCCTGCTGTTGCTCCTGCTTCATCACCTGCTTTGACTCTACTCCCACCTTTGACTGTTCGCGCTTTTCTCCTCCCTCCCCCGCCTTGCCCTCGTCCAATCACAGCCGTTGCTGCCAGCGCCGACGAAGGTATCTTGGTTTGGTTCCCAAACAGTTGGATGACTTTGTCCGATTGCCGTACCTCGCAACTGTCGTTCGCCAACTCGGGAACTTCTAAGGTATGACCTCTTTCTCCCACCCTTGGATCTCTCCTGTCCTCCGTCCTTGTGCTTGGAACACGGTCTGCATTGAAATGATTGGGATATGATCCACACGAGGCTGAGGAAGTGTAGTGATGGCGTGCAGGACGACTAAGAAAATAGCTGTGGCAGTAGTGAGAGGAAGGCCTCTCCAATTGGAGGCTCTGTTCGCTAGACGTGGTTGCAGCGACATTGTTGTCGATACCAGCCTTTGTATCACCACGTTGCAAAGCAGCAGCCTTTTTTTTTAACTCTTTGCAGCAATCTTTGGGCTGCCATTGATCAGCTAGACAAGGTGATAGATCAGGTGAACTCACGGATGCTTGACTCGGTAAGTTTCCAGAAAAGGAAAAAGAAGAAGATGGGGGCTCGCGATGACCTCCACCACCCTCCGGATGCACGGATTTCGAACTCGAAGTAGATATTTGTTTCCGTCTTTTGATCGAATAGTGCACAGCACTCTTGCCAAAATCCTCAATGGAACAGTCGCTCAGACTGTCTCCATGACCATCCCAATGGGAACTATGAAATTCCTTGTCATGGACGACTTGAGGAAGCACGCCTGAGACGCAAAGATGGTGACGATGATCAGTACAAGCAAGACCACTCCAATCGAACACAAGTAAGGCATGAGAATAATCCTCTTCTTCTATGCTTGCTGCTGTCTCCTTTCTCCTCTTCCCCTTCAAGCAGAATCAGCAGATTCATGCAGTCCAAAGGGAAAAGCCGGAATGCAGGCATACTGAAAAAAAAACGAATGAAGGCATAATTTCACAAGGGCTTTCTGCAGCCCTCACTCCCGTCAGATAACATCCAGGAGCGTTCTGGAGCAAGTTCTCTAGGAAATCCTGGTGCAAGTCCCATCAAAAATGTCGTTCAGAATGGGCACTGTTTTTACTTCCTATATGTTGAACCAAACCAGCAACCAGACCAATAACAAGGTCAGCAACAAGGACAACAACGAAGCCAACGACCAGGCCAGCAAGCACAATGGCAACCAGACCAATAACCTGACCGTCAACCAGGTCAACAACAAGGCTCCCAACCAATGCCAACGACCAGGCCAACAACTACAGCAATTAGCGGACCATCAACCAGGTCAGCAAGCAGGCCACCAACCAGGTGAGCAACCACGCCAACCACAGGCCAACAATCTGACCAGTAACCCAGCCACCAAACAGGCCAACAAACAGGCCAATAACCAAGGCAATTGCAATGACTTGCTGTTTTCTGCCGCCTGTGACCCGTCGACCCGAGGCTGTAACATAGGTAGGATAGTTTGTCTTTTGTTCGGCTGAGGGCTAACCGAGAGACCTGCCTGTACAGAAAATTCGTGAGGGACCTAACGGTAAATATGGGAAAATATAGGCCCTACTAACTAGAATTTCCTACAGCTACCCTAACTGCAAATAGCAGGCCCGGGCTACCCCTAGGACAGACAGGCCCTAAGGGCCTGTGCTGATAGACGGTCCTATAGCCTATAGCCGGGTAGGGAGAGGCTGAGAGGCTGAAACTGAAACGGTACCGGTCGGTCCAGTCAGTCCGATGTAGGTCTAGGCTAGGGTAGTGTAGTTCTGTAGATAGATTGTAGACATTGGTTCGGGGCTTTTTGGCAATTGGTACCGTGTACGTCGCTGCTGTATACCGCATGAACTGGCGTGGTGACAGCTTCAGCGTCGGAGAAGACGGACATAGCCAGACCTGAAAAGCGTCGGCAATTGCTGGGACCTGCGCTGTTCTCTGACAGCACACGGGGCTGTTCAGAGGTCTGGGCTATCTGGAGTCAGCTGGAGGCAAGAGAAGTTGGTGCCCTGCTGAACTCTCCTCAGGAGTAGGGTGTCAGGGTGTTTGGCGCTGCAGCCATAGCTGCAGCTTTCTTCCTCAGAGAGCATCTTTGTTAGGAAAGGTGGTGCTGCTACAAACCTCCACCCAGGAAGTCCTCTGGCACTTCATCATCATCAGACACTGTGGCGCTGGTCTTCTTCTTCATCCTCTTAGAGGCGCTTGGCCTCAGAGGCCTGTTTCAGGGTGGCGCTACCCTCTGGAGGCAGTATCTGGATGGTGGTTATGAAATATTTATTGACGCAATAGATGGTCGTAAAATTACTGACATAATACCTCCAGGACCAGAAATTATAGTACCGGAAGGAGAATTTGTTAAAGTAGATCAGCCTCTAACAAATAATCCAAATGTGGGTGGATTGTTCCAAGGACTCGGGGGTAGTAATAGCGGTTACTCAGGGTTGGGGAGTGAAGCGCTGCTCATTCCTGAGCAACGCACCATGGTTCTGGGGTTATTCTGACATTTTGAGACTCTGAGTTTAATAAACAGTGTGAATACTGTGTGTGGACTATCATTGCTTCATTGTTTCCTGGATGTGATCTACTCGGGTTTCCTTTGTGACTGGTTGTGAGGATTCTGTGGAGCGAATTGCACTTTCAGTGTTCTCTGTCATATCGCAAAGTCAAGCCTTCCGCTGTGTTTATCTCTCCATGTGCGGTGTGATACTCCCATCCTCTCCCCTTCCTTCTGTGTCTGTATGGACATACCTGGAAGTCTATGTGAGTGAGTGTTGGTCTTCTGACAACAAACAACCAGGTTCATAACAGTTGGTATCAAAGCGATTGGATCCAGTCAGTGGAGTAGTTGATGAGTTGGAGCAATCATCATCATCTGGCGAGACACTGGAGTAGAACTTCATGGCGATTTGTCATCTTTTGTGTTGGCGACAGTAAGGCCGGAGGTGGTAAGTGTGTGGCGAGAAGTATTGGACAGAGGGTGATTCACTCCTGCACAAGATTGCACATGAGTGAGTGGCGATTGATGCTCAGAGGCCTGGGAGGCTCTGAGGAGGCTATTTATAGCCTGACGACTCATATGGGAACTGACAATTGGCAAGGAAGTGACCCCAGGGTGTTGTGCTTTTGGAATTGGGTCAAGATCCCCAATTTCCAAGCAGCGCAGTACAGGTTGGAGCAGCGCTACACTGAGTGTGTCAGTTATTGGCATTTGGGAGTCCGCTCTCTTTCTCCCTGGGTGGCTCAGGAGGCATTTATGGCACCACGGTAGCGCCTTCCCTTGTTGTTCCAGGCGGGTATAGTCTATCAGCCAATCGTTGGTTGGTAGGCACCTGTGCTCAATCTGCCACTGGAGGGCGGAGATTTTAGCGGGTCTTCTGTTGTAGTGTGCAAACCACCGGATGGGTCTTAGGAGACTGCGGTCAATATTGAGGTGACGATACCATCTGTCTTCAATACGATCGCGTAATCTGCGCTTGGGTCTGAGCATCCGATAAGCAGATTTAGATTTTAAGTTGCATAGTGCCAACGCGTTTGCCTCTCCCTTCCTGGTTGGGATATTCAGGGTCCATTGCCACTCTTCGGGGTCCAGAGGGAGGTCCTCAATTGGAGTGGCCATGGGATTAGAGGGCCCTTCTCTTAGGGTATTACCCTCCAACCAGGGGGAAGATATTTGAGGAAAATATGTTCAGCCTAGGCAGACGGAGCGTCCTGTGGACTATATGGTGGAGAAGATGCTGTCTGGAGATAGAAGGGGCGAGGGTGGCAGACGGTGAGGTCCTAGACCAAATTCGGACACTGGTCCAGCACGAGATAGCGGCCCAATGGAAGACAGTTAAAGATAAGCTCGACCTGACGAATACCTGGGAGGACATGAACAGGATCATCTCCACATTTAGCAAGGACTGGCTAGGCGGAGAGAGGGAGGGATGGGTGGCCAAGGTGTCATGGACCGGCCGCCAACCTGAAAGGGAAGCGCAGGGAGAACCCGGGACAGAGATAGTAAGAGACTACCAACTGATATTCCACGATTGGACCACAATTGATCCCGGCACCCTGCTACGACCTGCCCAGGACTTCGCAGATCCCTTCCCACCCCACCCGCTGGCCCTGGCCGAAGTACTACCAGTTGCATGAGGCCCGGCTCCAGCAGGCGAAGCAGGCGTTATAGGTAGCGATAGGTGGCGGCCCAAAAAAAAAAAGAGAGAAAGAAAGGTAGCGTTGTTTTTTCTTGGCTTGATCCCCGGGGCTGCTGGGTATTTAACGTTGGCAGGGCCCACAATCCCCGCTTCCCACAATCCTCACTTCGCTCAGATACTCAGATATCCTGTTTTAGGTATATGGGACATGGGACGTCATGAGGACAGTAGGGGAAGCACAGGAGCTAGGGGAGGGGTGCTATTTTGTACAGATGTATTCATGGGACGCTGGGCCCGGTTCCCAGCAGGTGAGGCTCCCCACACAATCCTCAGGAATTTTCAGTACTCTTCAGTAATTCTCAAAAATGAATTTGGCTGATTCCAGCTGATTTCACTGCAGCCTGTTTTCTGATGCTTCAATGGGCGCCGTGAGGATAATGGGTGGATGGCAGAGGCTAGGGGATGGAGGGAGACTCCACCGGTGCCCCCCGGTGGCCCCCCCCCAATACCCGACCCTGCTGCAGGTTAGGTATGAAAGAGCAGAGTGGACATGGGACGCTGGACGGGGTTTCCAGCACTTTGGCGTCACTCTCATTGATGTACTGTGTGGCAAAGATGTATTTTTGGGACGCTGGACCCGGTTTCCAGCAGGTGTTGCTCCCCACCAATAGATGGAGCGGCCCGCTAGGCAAAAAGCCTCAATCCCGGTGGTTCTCTTACCACCACCAGGATAGAGGTCTTGCACAAGGGCCTTTTAAAAAAAAAAAAGAAATGGGTTTCAGGAGACAACCATAGCCAGGGTTTCATTCATCCCCTTCAGAGATATCCCTGAAGTAAGTGTGTTCCTTATTCAACTCTGTGTGGCGAGTCTGGGACTATTTTCAGAAGAGCGAAATTTGGCCTGTGTTTACCAACCCTGTTTGACCCTCTCTCTGAATCAACTTTCATTTGTGATTGCTTTATAGTATTGCGATTCATATAGTGTTGTGAATTGGATTGTTCAGGGTCCTGCTATCAGTGATAATGGAAATTTGAATTCAACGATGGCATAGTTGGAGCCTGGTCAGGCTAGGGGTAGCCATAACTTTAGTTCTGTCCATCATAATTCAATTTTGTCAGTCCTTGGTAAATCGCAATTCAGTGTTCAGTCTGTCTGAAATCGCACAGTCAAATTTGATGTTTTGAGTCAGTTACAGTGCAATCTGTACTTCGCCATACCCTGGGTATGGCATACAGCGTCATCAACGGTGTGGTCAGTGGGGTAAAGTCTAAAAATAGTCTACCCAGTAAAACGCTGCATCTTGGTCATTAGTAGATACCTGTCAATCCCTAATAGTTACTCTATCTAATTACTATCCACTACTAATTTGTCCAGGACTGCATCCTTTTTCAGCGTCCCTTATGTAGTAAGATACAAAATGATACATTGAAGAGTAACAGGATGGTGTCTCGAAGGCGCCTGCCAACATTGATTACTCTAGAATCCAGTCCAAGACTGCATCCCGAAAGTAATTAATACAGTATTTGTAATGATAGCACTCAATTGTCGTGTCAGGGCAGTGAATGGAAAATCGTGAAATTGGTTTTTGCCGAGTCATCTCTAAACTGATCCCTGACCCTCACGTGGTGTGCAGAGACTGAGCACTTACTTGCTCATACTAACCAACTTCTCTCCTTAGTCAGGTGACACCAATTGGGTAAGTACTGTAGAGAAAACCCAATTCCCGGTACTTCCATCTCTGTCTTCTACCTAATTCTTTTATTTTATTTTTTCTGTTTTGTGGGCAATTCAAGATGTCTGGTTCAGAGAAGGGAGAAGCGTCTGAGGAAAAGCATTAGTTTCCTCTCTCC